TAGGAGAAACTATTAACAAATCATGTATCTGATAAGGGACTTGCAAATAGAATATATAAAGAATTCATGCCACTCAACCATAGAAAGACAAATAAAATATGAGCAAATGATCTGAATAGACATTTCTCCAAAGAAGATATATAAATGGCAAATACATACATGAAAAGATGCTCAACATCATTAATTATTAGGAAAATGCAAATCAAATCACAATGAGATATCACTTTACACCAACTAGAATGGCTACATTAAAAAAGACACATGAATAAGTGTTGTCAAAGATGTGGAGAAATTGAAACACTTATTATTCCTGGTGAGAGTGAAATGGTGCAGCTGCTTTGGAAAATTGGCAAGTCCTCAAAATGTTACAGAGTTACCATATGACCCAGCAATTCCACTCCTAGTTATAGACCCAAGAGATAGGAAAACAAATGCCCACACAAAAACTTGTACATGAATGTTCATAGTAGGATTATTCATAATAGCCAAATATTGAAAACAGTCCAAATATTAACCAACTAAATAGGTAAAGAAAATGTGATATCTTCAAACAATGGGATATTATTCATCCATATAAAGGAATGAAGTATTTGATGCATGCTACCACATCGATGACTTTGAAAACATTACGCTAAGTGAAAGAAACCAGTCACAAAAGGCCACGTATTGTATGGTTCCAGTTATATGAAATGTCCAGAATAGGCAAATCTGCAGAGACAGATTAATGATTGGCTAGGGCTCGGGAGGGGAGTGGAGTAGAAAATGAAGAATGACTGCTAATGGGTACGGTATTTCTTTTGGGAGGATAAAAATGTTCTAAAATTAGACTGTTGATGATTGTGCAACCATGTGAATATACCAAAAACATTTAGCTGTGCATTTTAAATGGGTGGTTGTATGGTTTTAAAATTATACTTCAATAAAGCTAAGTTTGGGTACTTTTATAAATCTTTATGCCGAGGCTGAAACTCAGACCAATGAACTCAATCTCCTGGGATTGAACCTATGCATCAATATTTTTTAAGAGTTCTCCAGGTGATTGCATTGTGCAGCCAAGGTTGAGAATCATTATGTTTGAATCAGCCCTAATCCAAATAAGTTTTTAATTTAAGAGACTCCAAAAGAGTTGAGATCCCATGTGGAAGGACTCTGGGAGGCTTCCTCAAACCATGACACTACAAGTGTGGTCCTGAGACCAGCAGCATCACTATCACCTGGGAAACTGTTAGAAATACAGATTGTTGGGCCCCATTCAGTTCAAGTACATCAGGATCCACAGTTTAACAGGCTCCCCAGATGATTCATATGTACCTTAAAGTTTGGGAAGCATTGCTTAGGAGCAGCGGTTCCCACGCTTGGCTGCACATTGGAATCACCTGAAGAGTCCAAAAGTACCGACGCCTGGGTTCCACAGTGATCTTACGGGTACGAGATGCAGCCTGTGCATCTGGGGTTTAAAAGCTTGCCAGGTGATTCTAATGTGCAGCAAAGTTTGAGAATGAGAACTGTAAAAAACAGGATACTTAATGGCAAATAAGATGGTTAATAAAATTTTCTTATTTTGTTTTTAACAGAAGGATAGAGGAACATGCATAAGAAAGGGAAGATTATTGATGTTAAAAATGTCCAGAGGAGTGAGGAAGGGATGGGAGTGAGACAACAATGGAAAACCTTTGCCCCCCACCAAAAAAAAAAAAAGGAAAACAAAAAACAAAAAACCCACCACACACCAGGCATTTTCCTTCTAAATGCAAGAGGAGGATCTTTCATATGATTATTGGAGACTACTCAAATTTAAGTGGCCAAGAATCTATGGGTTCTTAAGAGGGTTTTTAAATTATGCTGAAAACGTGGGTATTTATTGAACTTTCCTGTCTGAATTTATAAAGAGAAAGTTTATTAATGTGGTGGTGAACATTTCTTCCGAAGCTGTGTACCCATGTCCAGCTTCTTCGGTCTGGGGAAATTTTAACTCCTCAGTAGACAGTGGACCCTGCGCAGTGTCTGGGGCATGCTCTTCCTGTATGTGGCATTCAGCCCTGAGGATTCTCCTCCCCAACAATTGGCCACGTCTCTGTGATGACCATTGTCTCTGCCATTTATTGGTCTTTTCAAAATTATGACTCTAAAATATCTTGTAGGCAAAATTATGAGGCTTGCAGAGTTAGCTTTGAGATTTCTCAATTCCTCACCCACGCCTTCCCCTCCTTCCCACAAGCTCCATTTCTGTCCCATGCCCCCAGATTGTCTTCTCCAGGTGACTTGAACCCACCTTCTTGGTTGCAGTATCAGTACATTGTACCCTTGTCTGCACTGAAATTAACCATGCAGTAGAAACTAGTACCTTCTTGAGTTGATGGGTGTGTGTGTGGTGGGGTGGGGGGGGTATAATTACTTAATTGAATCTGTGTTAAGAACGTGTTAACTATTAACGGAAACCCACAGTCCCTCTCTATCTCCCCCTCAGGAAGTCCCTAATGGTGTTTGGTCATTGTTTCAGTCACTCGTCACATATTGTGTTTTCTTGGCCCATATCTCTAACCACATCCTTATCAAAATATTTTGATGCGCGCATTTGAAAAGTAGAAACACAACATACTTAAGATAGTTGGAGGGCTTGGCTCCTATTTGCATCACAATGATTCTGCCTATGAAGATTTTCCCTAACAGTCAACTAGGATTATATACAACCTGTGGTTTCAAAAAATCATCTCATCTTATTAAATTTTCTTATTTTAAAATACCTGTGACTCTTCTGAATAATGAAAAAATGACATGAATGAAGAATATGTATATAAACTGTCTCTAAAGTTATTAGGAAAATATTTTTATTTAACTGTGCCTAATGTTTGGGGGTATTACAGTGAACTCTACTTTTAAAGATGAGTAGTTATATATTAATATATTGGCCCTGAAATTTTTGAGTTTTCACCCTATAGTCCAGAAAAAGCCTTTATTTTTAATAGTTGCCCTAAAATTTTAACGCAAAAGTTTTACTTAGCTAAATCTAAATTTAATCAGTAGCTTTACCCCACTTCCAAACAATATAAAGACTTTAAAATGCTTTCATTCTGATTTCCTTTCCTTGCTTGCTATTATTTTCCAGGATTTTAACTCTGTTTGCTTGGTTTTATTTGTTTGTTTGTTTTACGACAGAGTCTCACTTTGTCATCCAGGCTGCAGTGTAGTGGTGTGATCATAGCTCACTAGAGCCTTGAACTCCTGGGCTCAAGGGATCCTCTCGCCTAGCCTCCTGAGTTGCTGGGACTACAGGCATGCACCACCATGCTCAAATTATTATTGGTAGTAGTAGTGGTAGTACAGACCGGGTCTCAGTATGTTGCCCAAGCTTGTCTCAAACTCCTGGCTGGCCTCAAGGGATCCTCCCATCTCAGCCTCCCAAAGTGCTGGGATTATAGGCATGAGCCATTGTACCTGGCTTACTTGCTTGGTTTTAAGTCCACAAATTAGACATCATCATCATTCTATTTAGATTTTCTCATATTTACCATTTTCTTTACATATCATTGCTACTTCCATTCAGAGCTTCTGGGATCAAACCCTAGTTCCTGGCATTTTGGACTGGTTGATAGTCTCCAGGATATTCAGGCAGTGAAGTGCCTCCAAAAGAAAATGAGAAAAGAAAGGTCCTGGGAAATATGCCTCACCCCTACCCCTGCAGTGCTGCTGCTGCTGTCCCAGGACCGTGGGCACCCCTGAGTATCTCCCTTCCACTCTCTTTGATCACTGTGTTTTAGGGAGTAGAGAGGGACAATGACATCTTATAGAATACTAAAGTTAAATATGCTCAGTTTAAGGAGCTGTCATTTAGTCTGAGATCGTGTCTTTCCTACCTTTTTTGCTGTTAACTTTATTTTATAACATAATGGTGATGGTAGTTGAAGTTTGTTATTTTGTTTTGTTTTAAATTAATTAATTAAGATTTGTTTTTATATTTCCTTACTTGGCAAATACAAAGTTGTGAATCATAACCCAGATTTTTTGAAATTGTATTGGGTATTGAAATCCCAAACTACTGCTATAAACAGCTAGCTGTGAGTTTGGGGTGTGGACATTGGGACACCTGAAACCATGTCTTGGTTACGTCAAGAGCCTTATTGATTATTTAGATTATGTATGAATCCTGTGGTGTTAACAGTACTTTGCAACCTTTAGTACTTAGCTGAACTGTATTGGATCGGGAGTCCTCAATACGCCCTCAATGATTTACATTGTTTTTAGCTACTTCCGTAAGGCTGAGTCTATACTAGCAAAATGACCTGGGTGCTTAATGTGCTCCCTACATACATCTGGTGATGTTTGTGCTCTCAATTTTTTAAGAACACTGCTTTGAGAGTCACACAACCCAATATTCTACCAATAACTTACTATGTACCTTCATCATTTGTAAGAAGAGGGGGTTGAACTAAACGATCTCCAAGTCACTTTTCTGCACAAATGTAGGTGGTGATTGTATTTGTGTGTACACATTTTTTGAAAGCCTTAAAGAGATCTAGGTATTTCTCATGTATTTATATTAAATCTAAGATCCATGTTGCAAATTTGGACGTGGAGGACACTAATTTTTCTGATGTAGGTTACTCTTTAAGAGGCATGTTGCACCTGTAATATTGGTGCCACCACTTTGGCAGATGCAGTTTCTTCATTTACTTGTAAGTGTTCAGTCTGAAGTCTATATAAGGTAACTTGAGTTCTCATTTCTCTGGTATAAAAAATGGTCATGTTTAAATAAGGCCACAATATTTATTTCAAAGGGTCCCAGAATCATTTTTTTAAAATATCATCATATGCTTGACACATAGACAAATGATGACTACTTGAAGATGCACCAGCCGTGATTGTGGAGACCTCCAAATTCATGACAGAGTTGTTAACTGGCAGGTTTGTTATTTCCTATAAGTACAAGGAAGGGAAGTGTTAAAATAACTCGTGCCCATTAGAGAGAGGAAATTAACATTCCCTTAAAAATTGTTTTCCAGTGAAGGAAGCCCATCCCCCAGAATGGAGCTGCTGCATAATATCGACCCGAACTTCGTGGACTCTTCGCCGTGTGAGTACCAGTGCATTGCTACCATATTAAATCTCATTGGCCCACCAAGGTGGTTTGATTACCTAGTGTGTCTCTAGCCTAGCTTTCTCTTTTTTCCTGAGTTGCTAGAAAGCTAAACAGTTCTTCAGGACACACCTTCCACTCATCTCAGAGGGCAGTGTGCTGTGAAAGGAACGCCAGCTTGTGAAACAAGAAAGGTGAATTCTATTCTTGCTCTGCCACTTACTAGCCTTGAAGCCATTGAACTCTTCCTGCTCCAGCCTTCCCCATTTACAAAAGAACTCATGGCATCTCTGAGGCTCCTTCTCACTGTAGATGTCACGTTGCTGCCCTGTTCTTACCTGAGAGCTCCAGAGCCGCCTGCCAGAAAACTCACAGTCCAATAAACCACAGTTGGGTTCCAGCGTAGTGTGAGCAACCACATTATCTGATTGGGACGGTCAGGTACTGCCCAACACCTGCTGGGTGTCACAGGTGTGACTTTCCTCGCAGTCCTTGAAGTGATTCCGCTTGATCCTGCCTCCCGCCTAAATTAACCTGTAAAGAGCCCTACCATTTCCTTCAGGACAGGCAGGCATGCATGTAGTGCTTCCGGATCACAATGGACTGTAATAGGCCTGTATAAATACCACGCGAGTGGCCCTAATGCCCTCGGCATAGTGAGTTTGGGCATAGAAAGCCTTAGCAATTAGACCCTTTGCCCAGCTTTCATCATAATGCTCATCTTGCAAACAGTGCGCTTCTATTCCCTTATTCATATGGGGGGCTCCCATCCGCCCCTTTCTGGACATACTGCTGCCCCCTTAGTTCAGGCTCTCCTTACTTCTTTGTTTTTTCCAAACTGTATTATAGCTCGCCACAAAATATTCTTGCTTAGAGATTCCTGCTCAGAGAATTACCCCACAGTCGTTCTAAATGTGTCACCGGGCACTCAGGTCCCACTTGCCCGGCCAGCCTCACTCCAGGCACTCCTTGTCATGTTCTCATCTCCTAGACACTTGTCATCTCCAGGCATGCAGGTCATCATACTGTCATGAATATGCTTTTCCCTATGCCTGAACCACGTTTTCCCTACCTCTCTACAGTCTCTCTCATCCCTTAAAAACCCGGCCCCATGCCCCCTCTGTGAATGCTTTCCAGAGCCCCAGAAGCAGTCATTCTTCCCTGTGTGCGTGCGTCCCCATATACCATCCCTCACGTGTTCGTGTTTGTGCCTGCATTTCCAAACTGAGAGCTCCTGGAAGTCAGCGTCTCTTGTATTTTTTTATCCTCATCAGTTAACACAAATACTGGGCGCTTGCTAGGCACTCAGTAATGATTGCTTGATGACTCAGTAGACAATTGGAGAGTTGAGATGCAATAAAGACCAAGCGGACACATTAAGACCTGGACAGGAAAGGGCCCTGAGACAGACGAGAATAGCTATGTCATGGAGAAATTTCTATTTCTTTTGGAGTAAATCCATGTCAGTGAGAGAGGCAAGGGGAAGGTTTGAGCCCTAAGGACTGTAAGAACAGTCTAGATTTGTGCTGTCCAGTATGGTAGCCACAGGCCACATGTGGCTGTTGGGTACTTAAAATATGGCTAACTGTGGATTGAGATGTGCTGTGAGTAGAATATGCACATCAGATTTTGAAGACTTAGTACACCTATGTATTATATGCATACAATATTATAGATTTATTATTTGGTGAAAGGATAATACTTTGGATATATTGATTTAAATATATTGTTAATGTTTTACTTGTCTCCTCTTCCTTTCTTAGTGTGGCTAATAGAAAATTTAATTTTAATTAACTTACATGTGACTTGCATTATATTTCTATTGGCCTAAAAACCTCTTCTAGAAGGTGCTAGAAAGTAAGTTGATCAGCTCAGCTGATCACAAAGCTGTGACTAGTTACTGTGAGGCTACATCAATGGCTCCTAAACTTTTCTCTACCCCAGTACACCTAAGAGATACGTTTCAGTCATATCAAAATCTCTAAGGGTGGCTGGAAGAGAATACTAGGGAGGCAGGAATGGCTTTAAAACTTTCTGAGTAATTTAATGCACTGCAAAGCCCAGTATAACCTAGGTCTAGGGGATATGTGGAATATGCCACGCACATTATAATGGTTGTAAATGTCTTCACCTGTTAAATTCCACCTACAAATGAAAAACCTTAAGACCCCTCACTCACCAAGCTGTATTTTCGTTTGGCATTTGAAGTAGGAGCTTGGGAACTATACTCCTATGTGATATGGTTGGGATTTGTGTCCCACCCAAATCTCATTTCGAATTGTAATCCCCAATGCTGGAGGAGGGGCCCGGCGGGAGGTGACTGGATCATGGGCGTGGATTTCCCCCTTGCTGTTCTGGTGATATTGAGTGAGTTCTCATGAGATCTAGTTGTTTGAAAGTGTGTAGCACCTCCCACTTCACACTCTTCCTCCTGCTCCAGCCATGTAGGACGTGCCTGCCTCCCCTTCTCCTTCTGCCATGATTATAAGTTCCTGAGGCCTCCCCAGCCATGATTCCTGTACAGTCTATGGAACCCTGAACCAATTAAACCGCTTTTCTTTATACCCAGTCTCAGGCAGTTCTTCATAACAATGCAAGGACGGACGAATACACTATCACCACAGCACTGCGTGCTCCAGGGTTCTTGGTGCAACTTGCTGTGCTTTCTCCTGTCTTACCTAAAGGGCCCTAGCAAAATAACAGCACAGGCAAAAGGTTTCTGCAGCGTAAAAGTTGGTAAGAGTGTGGAAATTAGAATAGAAAATTTTCTTAATCTTGCCACCGATAGACTGTAAGGACATTTACTTCTCTTGGACTCAGTTTCCTACATATTATGTGGAGGACTTATAAGACCCAGTACTGTGGCCCCAAATTTAGGGATCCTCTTTGGTCTTCTGCTGCTCTTTCTCCCCTCTCTGGAGCCCACCCAGGTCTTCATGTTGGCTTCCTCGCCAGCTTGGGACTCCTGCTCTGACTCCTGCAGATAACGAAGGACATCGTCGGCTCTTGCAAGGACGTAGAACCACTTCACTGTTGCTTCATACACACAGGGTGTTCTTTGCTATCTGCGCCTGCAGGTAGCAAGGTGCCACCCACCTCCTCACACATGGCAATCCCATGGGCCTTTTCTGCCCACTTTTTATATTCACTTCACTCTACTGAGAGGCAGAAGCAGAAAAAAGAAGAGCTATCTTTGGGTGCCTGGTCCTTTTTAGGATGATGATACAAGCCCATTTCCTTTTCTATGCAATTTATTTAAGAGGAAAAATTAAATCCAGCTATTAAAAAAACATGTACTTAGAGGACAGCTAAGTCTGGATATCATATTCATAGAGCACAGAGGCTTTTGTGGAGTAAAATCAGAAAGCAGCCAATCTCAGGTGTAAACTAAGGATTAAGAATGGAGTCAGTGTTATCACAGAAGCATTTCTGTGGTTTCTCACTCCAGCTCTTCTCAGATCATTGGTGCTTTCTGCGGGAGAAGAAGGTAGTGTTCCACCTCCACCTTCCCTAAAGCCACTTCGTCAGTTTCCTCACCTGTGGAGTAAAGAAGGAATTAAATGATCTGCAAGGTCCCTCTGGCTTCAGTGTGCTGTGGGTCTCTACATGAATGGGACCTCAAAGGAGCAAATCTGCTTACTCTGCTTCTCTCCTTTTTCTGCCTGCCAGAAGTAGTGTGTCCATTGATAAGCAGTGATGTTGCCAAAGGCATGGTCACAAATAGATGAACACAAGTGAAAATGCTAGAAACATTATATGCACTAGAGGAATTTGAATTATTTTATGAGTTTCTTATTACTACATCCTGGCCACCTTTCTGATCTCTGTTCTAAAACATCACCGTATCAATCTGCTTTTCTATCTCCTCTTTCCCTTAGTGGGTCATCCTGGGGTTTGTTGACCAATGTCTCCTCTGATTCTGAATCATACGAATAGGCATTAGGCACTTCCCAGGAGATTTCTGCCTTCTGCCTAGCACCACATGCCCCCAGAAGCTGGCTTCTTGGATTTCAGCAGCTACACCTCCCCTGTCCCCTGCCAACACACATCCCATTCCCCTAGTCAAATTATGGGGTGCCCAGAGGCCCATCCTGCTGGTGGAGTCCGAACTTTTTTCACGGTCACATACCCATGGTAGGTTGTGGCTTGGATACTAACAGTAAAAATACTCAAAGATTGGCACAAAATATTGATACACGTACACATTCACAGAGAAACATGCACACACACCAGGGGTCACCAAATCTCTTGCAGAGCAGGAGATTCACCATTCTGCAGTAAAGCATAAAGTCTCAAGAATGCATACATAAATTACACCATTAGGATGAGGATGACTACAGTTTAAAACGTAAAAGAAAGAAAGAAAAGGAGAGATAGTGGAAAAAGGAAGGAAGGAAGGGAGGGAGGGAGGGAGGGAGGGAGGGAGGGAAGGAGGGGAAAATAAGAAGTGTTGAGGATGTAGAGAAGTTGGAACCCTTGTTCACTGTCAATGAGAAAGCAAAATAGCGTAGCCTCTATGGACAATAACATTGTGTGATTACTCAAAATATTAAAAATAGAATTATCATAGGATCCAGCAATCCCACTTCTGGGTATATACCTGAAAGAATTAAAAGCAGGGGCTTAAACAGGTATTTGTACACTCACGTTTGTAGCAGCATTACTCAGCATTACTCAGAATAGCCGAAAGGTTTACACCTGCCCATCTTCATCCCTTTCTCCAGACCTCCTCAGTAGACAAACAGAGATTTATAAAGCCTTTGCCTCTGGCCTGGCTCGGCCTGACTTCCCTCTGAGTCTGGGGCTCTGCCTCTTCTTGCTGTTCTGAGTTCGGTTCTGCTCCTGTTTTCTGGGATGTTCCCTCCAAATGTTTCATCAGTCACTGGTTATCTCAGTGCCCCAACCCTGGCTCCACTTTTGTCCCCTTCCTCCCTCCCCTGCCTTCCAGCTTCATGACCAGTGTCAGACGTGTGGGATGTAATTGCTTTCCTGTGTGC